GGTCGGGTTGGGTCGGTTGGTGGTGGTGTGTGGCGGTGGTCGGTGGGTGGGTGGGTGTGTAGGAGGTGTGGGGTGGTGCGGGGCGTGGGAGCGCCCGTGCTTTCCTCCCAAACACTCCTTGCAAACAGACACCTGAGGGGTGGGCAAGGGTCCCTGCAGAGGGGCCAGTCCAGAGCCCGGGCCATGGGAGCCAGGCCCCGTGCAGGGGAGGCGCCCTCACAGCAGCCCGGCCCTTGGCGACAGCGCCTTCCTGGTCACCTGCCTCCAGCCCCCTGCTGCTCCGAGTCAGGGCGAGAGCCCTGGGGCCACACTCCCTGAGCAACGGGGCTTCAGGAGGACGTGACACCACAGGAGGTGCTGCCCGGCCAGCTCAGGGCTGGCCCGACGGGGAGCTTGTCCTCCCAGTGACACCACAGGCAGAGAAAGGGGCGGCCAGAAGAGTGATCACATTAGTCACCAGGCTCACAGCACCTGCCTCCCAAAGGGGCCCTTTCCATGTGTCCCAGTTATTTCAACATCTAAAACTAGTTACCCGGCTCGGTCCTCGGAACCAGCACTGTCAGAGCCTGCAGCGCACCTGCCACTTAGATCCAGTGACATGGGGCGTGTGAGCAGAGGCCACACGTGTAAAGGGAGAGTGTAAGGGGGCGTCTGGAGCGGCTCAGCTGGCGCCCTGCGGTACGGGCAGAGCTGCTCAGAAGCACACGTGTCTGTCAGCCTCGGACGTGCCCACTACACGGCCTCCGATTCAACTTGGGTGTGAGGGCCCAGGGCGCGCGGGGAAGTCATGTCCGAGGGGAGGTGCGTGAGGACCCGCGCCCGCCCTCCCACACTGGTCTGGAGAATTTAACGGCCAAACCAAGGGCCCCCCTGCGGGGCCTTTAATAAAACCAAGAGAAAAATTGCTCGTCCTAAATGGTGCCTTTTTAGGAAGAACGCAGCTGTCAGAGTGTCCTTCCCCGTCACCGCACCAGCAGGTACCAGCGAGCCCCAGAAGTTGGGATGTGGACAGAGACCCGGGGACGGGGCCCGGGGACCTCATTCTGCACCCAGTGTGAGCCGGGAAGGTGGTGAGCGCGCAGGCAGAGGATGGGCACGTGGCAGCACGATGGCAAGGGTACTGGAGAGGGGACGCAGCCTTCCAGTCGACAGAGAAGGAGAAACAGCAAGAGGTGAAGGGAAAGCAGAGGAAACAGGTGTCTGCTCCACACAAGCTTAGACGTGGCTCCGAATTCCCAGAGAAGGGCAGCCGAGCTCAGCCCGAGTCGGACCCTCCGCTGGGGCGGAGCCTGCGCTGATGGACGCCCACAGTGTCAGACCGCCCTCCCACCCCGAGGGGGCCGGGCAGGCTCTCCCTGCGGACTCTGGGGCGCAGGGAGCAGCACAAGTCAAACCCACGCCACCCACCGCCCCTCCCGGCCTGACATGGGTGGCGGGGGCCCTGGCTCGAGGCTGCACCCTGCATGACGGAGCGCCGGGCCACGTCAATCAAATTCACTGACCTAGTGCTCTGTGCTCACCACGCGGGCAACATCGTCTGATTTTTAAACCTGCTAAAGCCGCCGTGAATACTAGAAAGGCAAACATCCTAAGACCAGGGACAGGCAACCCACGTCCTCCAAGGGCCCCCTAGGAAGACAGGAGGACCTTTCACTCACTCTAGGTTGCACCTTTGGAAATCCCCAGTGGGGAGGCAGTGGAGCCCAGAAATAAAGCCGCAAGGCCGGATCCTTTGAAGGCCGCCCGCAAGTCCTCCAGGGAAAACGTAACCTCACCCCGAGCTACCACGGGGACCCTGGGGGACCTGGGGGCCACTGTGAGCAGAGGGGGGTGGGTTTCCCTGGACTGCTGAGCTCCAGAAACTGCAGTGCAGCCTGTGGAGCAGGGGCACGTGGAGCAGGGGCACGTGGCACTGGGCAGGGAGGAAGCAGCCCTTGCTGGCCCACACCCTCCCGGTAAGCTGGATTTCAGAAGAGCCCTCCCCAGCCAGCTCCACTCGGCCCCAGGGAAGGAGCCCGGGCGCTGTTCCACAGGGAAGTCACAGCCAGGCCTGGGAGCGGCCACCAGCACACATGCGTGCACACGTGTGAGCGCACGCACACGTGCACGCACACACACAGACCAGCGCGGCGGTCCCCGCCCAGGACGTGGGGTTCGTGACACTTGGTATGACTCCAATTGTCTTGCAGACAACTGCTGATGTGAGGGAAGACTCGTCACATTGGACGTTATTCTGAACTCAGGTTGAAATATGTGGCAAATGGTAGACCCGAGAATAACAAATCACTTGGGAACGAGCGCCACCCGTTTGTAAAATTACAATGGACCAAGAGTTCCTGGGGGCAATGTCAACAAGAGGTTAACGTGGGAAGCGGTTATTTGGTTCATAAAAAATCAGTAATATACTTTGGATGTGTTACTTTATACTCATGCTGCATTTGGCTGCTTTAGGCAAAATAAAATCAATTTCCTTCTGTTCAGACTGAGAACTGTGGGCCTTCTGAGGTGACCCCTGCACAGAGGCCCCTGCACACAAAGGCCCGAGAGGGTCTGGGCCCTCCTGAGGGAGGCAGCCCTCCTGCCGGCTGGGCGTCCCACGTACGCTCCGACCAGGCCAGTGTGTATCTCATCTTCAGACTGAGATATTACTCAGGAAGGAATGGAGGGTCAGACTGTCTCCCTGAAGGCAGAGTCCTTCAATAGACCAGAATAATTCTGGAATTCCGGGAAGAGAAGCAACAAGCCGTGGGAGAGTTCTGGGGTGCTGAAAAGCTCTCTCCTTCCCTCTCCCTCCGAGCCCAACCTGGACAGCCACACCCGCTCCGGGGACCCGCCGGAACCCGCCGTGGGGGCTCCAGGAGTGGGCGCCGGGGTGCTCGTGGAGGGCCCTGGTGCCCCTAGCCATTCTGATACGTGCTCCCCACCGCTGTGGCCCAGCCTCTGCCTGGACAGCCTCCTGAGCCTCAGTCCTGCTGGGCTCAGTCCCTGACCCAGAGTTGGGCTTCAGCCGCTGCCTGGCCAGCCTCACCCAGCCTGCACCTGAGACTTCACACGAGGCCCCGAGGGAGGGCACCGCTGAGCTGGGCAAGGTTCCAGGGCCCCGACCGCCCCTCCGGGCCGGGCTGCACCCTGCAGCCTTGGGCGGGCTTCCCAGCGACCACAGGAGCGGCGTGCTCAAGGAGAGGCCGCCGGGCAGCTGGACTTACCAGGAAGCACCTGTGCGGAGGACACAGGAGGAAGGAGGTCAGATCCTGTGTAAAAGCATTATTGAGACACGCCAGGTTTGCCAGCGGCTTTCCTCACCTGTGGTAAGTGTAACTGAAGGCCCTCGCTGGGGATGGGCTGGCGAGACGGGGTCTGGTCCAAGTGCAAGTTAAAGACAGTCGCCAGGGCAGACTGCGCGGCCCGGGCCTTGGCCAGCTTTTTGTTCCTCCCCGAGCCCTCGAAGAACTGACCGTCCACCACCACGGACATGACAAAGTTCTTGGCGTGGCTCTCCCCGCTCTCCGACAGGAAGTCGTACTTCAGTCCCGGGCGCAGCTCGTTCAAGATCATCACGGGGTTCTTCCCGCTCGGGGGCGGGAAGGGCGGGGGTATGGGCAGCAGGGGCTGGGCCAGGCCGGCGGGCACGGGGGACGCGGACAGGCTGAGGTCCCCGCTGGAGCTGAAGGAGTCGTCGCCGTTGGAGCCCAGGTAGAAGGGCGCGTCCGACCTGTCTGGGGTCTCGAAGCCGTTGAAGAGGGCGTCGGGGAAGTCGGCCTGGTCGGACGTGAAGTCCGTGTTGGCAGACAGGGTCCGGCCCATGGCCAGGTGGGCCTCGGAGGCGTTGGGGAACTGCACAAAGGACCGCAGCGCCTTCTCGGCCGCGTGCAGCTTGGCCTTCTTCTTGGTGGGGCCGGAGCCCTCGAACACCTGCCCATTGACCTCGACGGACATGACGAACAGGGGCGCGTGCACGGGCCCCGTCTGCGACAGCAGCGTGTACTGCAGGCCGGGCTTGATCTCGTTGAGCTGCATCAGAGCGTTCTTGGGCAGCGCCGGCCCCGGCGCCCTCCTCCGCTTCTTCAGGCGGAACTTGGCGTGGCCGTTGCTGCCCTCCTCCAGGGGCCGCTTCCTGCCGCCGCCCCCGCCGCCCCCGCCGCCCCCGTTGGAGAGCGGGGCACCCTCGCCCGGCCCCGGGGCGCTGCCGTCCGCGGGGGGCGCGCCGTCCAGACCGCAGTTTTCCTTAACATCTGTGCTCGAACCTGCGGTGCCCAGAAAGAGTAACTTACAACGCCTTCGTTGCAGGATCTTGTAAATGCAAAATTTATAGATTCCTTCATCTGTCTTTGTAACTGGTCAAGTGATGTGTGCTCATGCACTCCCCCCGGCGGCCACTCCCCCCAGAAGCCAGCTAAGCTGAAAGGAGGAAGCTGACATCTTGCTAAACAGTGCCTAACGCTGGCTCTATTGAGTGTCGCCAACTGCTTTTGCATTAAAAGATGAATTTTTAAATGATCTTTTTCTATGAGAATATTCTGAAGCATCTAGAGACGTTATGCCAGTTTATCAAAATGTGGGATAATAAACTGATCCAGAAACCCTGCATTAGTAAGTCTAGCATCAGTGCTGATATATGTTCGCTTTCCTTTCGCATTTCCCTCCTTTGCAAAGCCCTTTTCCCTCAGGCTGTACTCACACGGGGCTTTACACTGCAGCATGTCCCAGAAAAGAAACAACATCTAAAACACGCATTCACAAGTTAATGTCTTTCTCTGGTTTAAAATATTCAATCAACATGTGCAGTTATTTGATTTAGTTCATGGATCAATCTTAGAAAACTGCTTATGTGACTATGTAAAGTGTTCTGGCCTTTTAGAAGTTACTTCTGAAGGATCCAGCTTCACTTCTAGTGAAGTGAACTTTTTCACTTAGGATTTTTTTATTACGTATGGGGGTTGACTCACCTCCGAATAGTTAATACACTCCACGATAGAAAAAATACAGAAGACACGAAAACTGGAGTGTTTAGGACTTCCTAACTTCCTGACTACAGCTGGCAGTTTTGTCTTTTGTTTGAAACAAATATCTGACGGATTTACAGAATAATTTGGTTGCCTTATCTTTTAAGGGTATTTGATTTTTTACAATCAATAAAGATAACTTCAGAACTCTAAAAGTCCATGGCAAAATAAGTATGATTTTAATTTCAAAAACTTAACTCCTTCAAGTTTATCAAACTTTTAAAAAAAGGAACGAATTCCTTGCCTCTGGTTAGTCCGCGTGGGGGGCCGTCTGCCCATGAGCGTGGGGGCACGGCTCCAGGGCCTCACAATGTTGCTGATGTGAAAGTATTTAAAGACCTGGCTTTCAAAAATCCGCAGTAAATCTTTAATCAACCAAAATATTTTTTACAATTGTAGACTAATTTACAAGTTACCACCACCATGTGGTGGCTCTAGGGTCTACTTCTACCGCAGAAATAAAAGAAGATTCTCTCTCATCAAGTGAAGGAAACTGGAACACTACTGTGAAAATGCTCGTCAGCTGTACCCAGGGGAGGGCGGGCTTAACGCGGCAGGAAGCCTGTCAGGGTCATCAGCTGCCAGGCCCCAGTTAAAGTGCCCTGGCTTCCAGGGCTGTCGCTGCTCAGCTGAGACGCACAGAAAAACCCTGGGCCAAGCACCCCCCGTGGGAAAGCTGAGTCCACGCTGTGGCAGAGACTAGGAGACTGACAAGCTTTCTCTGTGGACTTCGTTCCTCCCCAGCCCTCCTGACACACACACCACTTCTCCCAGTTGACAAAGCTGATGGAATGGACACTAAATTTTCATTTATAACATCCTCCAGCAAAAGCTCAATAGGTTACTCCTTTCGGTGCTCAAAGGAAACAAAAAGTTAGAAAGGGTAGAGCAAGACAGAGTTTAGATTAGCAAACGAGCAGCAACACCACGCACTAGACAAGAGCTCCCGTCCCGATGTCGCTGAAGCATCGGCAGCGGAAAGCGCATCGCTGTAAGCATGTCCTGACGTGCGTTTAGTCAAATATTCGTAATCCCTGAAACACGTGCTTTCCTTTAAGTGAAAACAATCAGCACTGACTGACAAGGGACCTTGAGATTATACGCACACTTTCTATTCTGCATAGTTCACATGGATTCCAAGTTCTTCTTTGCTCCAGAAGCTCACATTCTACCTTGTTAAAATGCTTCTATGTCAAGGAAGATAAAATACAGAACTGGACAAAGACACCCCACCATCACAGCTGTTCTTAAGCAGGAGCCTCCTCCTTACAGACCACGCTAATTTACTTCACAAATGCGGATGTTAATCACGACAAAATATTCCATTGCTTTCAAAATGAGAAGATACAGGCCAGGCGTTTCAGCTGCAGCCCTGGAACCGGCGGCTTACCTTTCCAGAAACCTCATGCGGAAGGATTCTCTATCGAGGTCACTTACCAGCAGGTCGCCCTGGCGATGGTTACACCATCTGCACACCGGGAAGCTTCCACCCAGACCATGACCCCCACCATGGACAGCAGCCCACAGGCCTGACAGAAAGGAGGAGCAGTGCTGGGTGAACTGGGACTGGTGGGGGGGCTGGTCCTGAAGAGCCCAAGAGGAGCTCTGCCCCTGGGGGGGCGCCCAGCACATGCTGGCAGGGGCACGGCCTCAGGCCCGAAGCAGCACCTACTCACGGCTCCCCACGCCGTGTCCCAGGGACGGGCTCCAGCCGGAGGGCGCGTACGGTGCGGGCCCCTGACAGGCCCAGCAGCTGCAGCACATGGCTCGCAGCAGCCCGCCAGGCGGCACGCTCTCCCGGAGAAGTGGGCTGTGTGTGCAGATCAGCGCCTGCAGGGCCTCCACTGCTGCATTTGGGGTGAGGCCACAGGGAAAGGGACTGAGCTGCGTCCTAGTCCCCGAGGACACGCTCAGTAAAATGTCACCTGTCTTTCACACCCGCACGCTCTTCCCGGGGACAGCCCGGCATGCACGTGCACAAATCAGAGCCCTGGTGCCCCTGCCATGCTGCCCCCACTAAACGCCCCTGCCCTGCGGCAGCACCGACTCCTTCCCTGACTGCTCTGCCGTCCAGACCTAGAGGCGGAGCAGGGGAGCTCGCCCACGGAACTTTCCACAGAGAGCTATGTCGAGGGGAAGCTGAGGCCCTCTGTCTCCTCTGCCCCCCCTGCCCCAGGGGGGACAGGGAGTTTCAGGCCACACCAGCCCTAAGGCTCATTAAGTCTTCAGAAACTTAAGATTCGCAGACTCACATGGGCCCTTTCCCTCAAAACACAGGGACAACCCAGCGTATTTGAAGGGAAATGCTTACGTACTGTTATCCCACATGACCAACCTCAGGGCCACGGGAGAAAGCCGGCTGCTACTGTGGGGACCGCGCGTGACTTAGCGGGAGGCACGCACATCGCGGCCCCGGCTGATGACAAGGGCGAGTACCCCCGACAAGCGGCCGTGAGGGAACGCCCACAGCAGACACCAGCCCGAAGCGGACACACGCCGCTGTCAGCAGCCTGTGTCACACTGGCCCTGCTAAACACGCTCACACACTGAGACTTGCCCAGGAGACCAGCGCTCGGGACCACGTGGCGGGCCGAGGTCTTACTCATGTTCTCTCCATCTTCCAGGTCCATGGCAAGGCGCTTCTGGGAGCTTCTTGACTGGTGGAGGCTGTTTCTGTCTGAAAGACAACAAGAACACAGCACTGATCCCTGAGCGACACGAGGTGGGTCCCCTCCGTGGAAAGCTGTTCAGACAAGGGCGGGTGGGTCCGGCCTCCGGACTGGGCGACCGGAAGCTCCTCCCCCTTGTGCGTGGTCAGGACCCGGGGTCCCGGCCAGGCCCCTGCTGCAGCAGGGAGGACTTCAGGGCGCTGCAGAGAGCGGCCTGCACTCCAGGGGTGGCGGCCGTACAGAGCTCCGAGCCAGGGGAAGGCGACGCCCTGTGCATCTCAGAAAGACGCCCCGGACGGAGCCCAGACCGCCAGCCACTTGCCGACCTGGGTGCTGGGGAGACTGGGGTGGGTTATAAAGTAAAGCTACTGAGCAGGAAGAAACAGGTACCGTGGTCACTCCGCCTCTCAGCCGCAGGGGCGTCTCATGGACAAAACTAAAACGCGTAGAATTCTTAAAATCTGACCCAACTTCTTAGCCACGTACAACCTATTTTGTTGGCAGGAGAACCACAGGAAACCCTCAGAGAACAATTACTCCAGTTATTTCATCATTAACAAATTAAAGAGTTTCCTCTTCCTAAATACTCCGGCCGCTCCTTGCAAGACCGCACTAGCACGCGACCTGCGGTGAAGGACTCCAGCAGACTGCCGAGTTCTGCAGGCACATGCTGCTCGGTACGCAAGTTAGGTTTCTATTGTAAATCACTAAAAACCAGTGATCTATAATACAAAACAGTGCCTCGCATGTGTTAAAACGTGCATGTATCTGAAACATCTTTCTCACATAACTGACATCTAAGACACAGTTTTCATGACAATCATGTGTTAGTAACACTAATTCTCACTGTATAGCTGGCAGATTGGTTGCTAAAAGCTTAATGAGCTTCTATTTAGAATCCTTTATTCAAGAAAGTGTTCCAGACGTTTTAAAAGCATTAACATTTTGTATTTTTGAGTTACTCCAAGGTGTAGTTTCTGAAAATCTATAACACAGAGCACAGAACTGCTTACCACAGGGACCGGAAGGGAATCAGACAGGCTCGGGGAGATTCAAGTGTTGTGTGGGGAACTGGCTGTACTAAGGGGTTGTTTTCAGTCCTTGCCGGTGTGGAGACAGCACGTCTCTTCCAGGGACACACACTGGTAGGGACACACACAGAGACGCTCGCGGACGGGATGGTCCTTGGGGCTCGTCATCACAGACTGCAGGGCCGGGGAGAGGCCGAGGCGCCCCGGCTGGCACCTGCTGACGCTAGCTGACGGCGCGCAGGGCTCACTGCGCCATCCGTACCGGTGTGCTTTAGCACCTCCCTTATGGAAGGTGTAATGAAGCTCATTTCCCCCAGGTCTGAATGGAGGTAGGACGTGGGCACAGTGCCAGGCCACCGCACGCCCTCGGGAAGATGCAGGTGCTCGAGGGGCCTCTCGGCTGGAGGGTCGGGGGGAATGTGGTGTGTGGTGGTCAGACTGAGCCTGGAGGAGAGGTCGGGTCGGAGGCGAAGACCAGAAGCAGGTGGTGTGGGGCAAGCGCAGAGGCTGTGTGAGACGGGCACTCACGACGCAGCTCCGGGAAACACAAAGTACTGGTTCTGGAAGCAGCCGCACGAAACGGTCCGAAGCCCTCCGCTCGTACCAGCTGGAAGCCGGGCTTATAGGCGGCGAGAGGGGCTCGTGGCGGGGCTGGGGGCAGGGCACGGAGAGCATCCTTTCCCTGCCTGCTCGGTGCAGCTGAGATCCCCGATGTGGCAGGCACAGCGCACACGGGGAGGCGCTGAGTGGTGAAGGGACTGAGGCCGCGTGGCGGAGAGTCCCCTGCAGCCTCCCTCTGCATCACCATCCCAGACTCAGAGCTGAAGAAGCCGGCTACCTGGAAACACCAACGGATGGACCAGAAAACCCCGACAGAAGTGCTGTCTCTGTCCCAGGGAGTCAGAGGGGATCTCCCAGCGGGATAGGGAATCGGCAGACCCCATCTTCCACCCAGCACGGACGTGGGGGCCCTGGCTCTCACTCCCACGGGGCTGTGAGGACCTCTTTCCTCCCACTCGCAAAGCACAGTCACGTGGGGAGCCCAGACTCCCTGCCTCCGCCTGCTGAGAAAGTCAGCCGAAACAGAGGGCTTAAGTAAGATTCAGACTCTAATAACATGTCCAGGTTTCCACCAAAAATCATCCATCATCCTGAGAGTCAAGAAGATCTTAAACCGAATGAAACAGGAAGGCAGATGCCCACCTGGAGATGGCAGCATCGCCTGAGGAAGGTTCCAGAGCAGATGTCACAGAAAGAAGGGGCGGAGCCGGGCCCTGATGGCAACACTCACTCTACAGCCTTGGTTGCCAAGGCGGGTGGCCCGGGGAGGGCAGACGAGCAGGCCACAACGGAGCAGCGCGGAGGACCGGAGACAGCCAACGGCGACAGAGGCGCGGGAGCAACGGACTAGGGAAGGGCGGTCTTGTCCACAAGCCGCTGGAGCAGCCGGGCATCACATCTCACAGCCCGCGCAGAGATCCACTCGGAGGGGCCCGTGGCCTCACACGTTAGGCACAGAACCATAAGACTTAAACAAAGATCACGGGAAAACCCTGGGGAATCTAGGACTAGGCAGAGTTTGCAGACTAGACACCAAAAGCTCAGCCCATAAGAGGAGAAATGATAAACTGGACCTCATCAAAACTGAAACCTTTGCTCTGCTAGAGACCCTGCTAAGAAGCTAGAGACCGGGAGCAAACATCTGACAGCCACGGGCCCGACAGAGTACACGGGACATTCTCCAGCTCAACAGGAAACAACGTCCCTCAGACAGTAGGGGAAGGACACTGAGACACGCTTCCCCAAAGAACACACAGACGGAAACCAGCACGTGACACGACGCCAGGGCCCCCGGCCCGCAGGGGGCTGGGACCCATGACCACGTGAGGCCCCACCGCACTCCTGGGAGAACGCCGCCGGGCCAGGGTGGCGACACCGAGCGCCGGCGAGGACGCACACTGGGTCACTCACACTGCTGGTGGGGCAGGGCACAGTCTGGTGGCTTCTCAGAACTAAAATGGGCACTCGTCCCCAAGGAATGAAGACGCACATTCATGTAAAGAACGTGCGCAGGAACGTTACAGCCACTTTATCCATAACAGCTCCAAACTGGGCACCCAGACGCCCTTCAGCAGGTGGCTGACTGGCTGGACGCGCTGTGGTCCGGCCACACGCGGAGCGGCTGCAGGACAAGAAAAAGGAACTAACTGCTGACAATGACCCGGACGGATCTCCAGGGAAGGAGGCCGAGTGGGAAAGGCCAGCCCCCCGAGTATACGCGCCACCGCCCGCTCACGTCAAGTGAGCACCGTGGGTCTGAAGGCGTGGCTCCCCTTAGCGGAGGGCTCGAGCACTGGCACGTCCGAGCCCGCCCGCCGCGCCCACGGTGCAGGCACGGGGGCCCACCTGGGCTCCCCGGGTGCTGACGGCACCGAGGTCGGCACCCTGAGCCCCGCACCGTTCAC